TTTTTTACATTAATTATGATAATCTAATTGCCATAACTATGTTACATCAAAAAAAACTTCGAAAACTTAAAAATTCATTCATGAAGTACAGAACTGTTGTTCACTATTATCTTAAAGAAAATAATTTCACTTATTCTTGCTCTACCGTTTCTAAGTTGGTAAGCAAATTGTGGAAACATGAATCAGAAAATGTTAAAAATATATATAAACGACTGGTAAACGAAGCTAAAAAAAAGAAAACCGAAACACCGAGACCTATTAATAGTGACTTAGACTTCAAAGAGACACGCATCTCTCTTAGTGACTACGCTGCAGATTTTAAGAGCATTAAGCAACAGAAGCTCACACCTTTGTATATGGATATTTATCCCTTGACCAATGTTATTTTTAGTGAAGGTTTACGAAAACCATATAACAATTTATTATTTGATCATTATAACCGTATTCAAAAGCTAGAAAGGGAGCTTTTCGACGCACTTGAAATAGTAGAGTTAATAAATAAATTATTTTTTACTGTATGATGTATTTTATTTTCGATAATACACGTTTTCTAGGCGCCGCTTCTTTATCAAATTACTTTAATTATTGTCCGGAGCGAAGCGAAGGACCCTGTTTTTACTACGACCTGTAATAAAAATATCACATGATTATATCTGTCCATGCACTTTCGTAACGCTTATTGGGTCATTTTGCTCCAGACACACAATGTTACGCATTAGTTAACAATTTCTTTGATTAAATATTTTGTTTCTCGATATTCACTTTCATTTATTAAAGAACAAATTTTGATAATTAGGATATTTTTATAACGGTTAGTACTAAAAAAAAAAACTTTTTTGAACACCTTATCAAATCTGAATGTGATATTTGTGGTATTCAAAATAGATTAACCTAAAAATAAGGATTCATGAGGATCTGTAGTTAAAAAATTTAATACGCAATTATTAACGAAATTTTACAATATATTTTATACTCATCTATTTTTTAACCCAGACTTCCACGTTTACTGGCGAAATACAAACCTACTTGAAGAAAGTGTTAGTGAAATAAGGAAAAAACATTAAAAAAAGAATAAAACTAATACTTTCATTATATACCAGCACAGCTCAAATTCTCCATTTCAGGTGCCATTCCATGTTTCCCGGCGAAGTATAAACCTACAAGAAAAAGAAGCATTAGTGAAAATAAGAAAAAAAAAAAAGGAACAAGAAAAATAAAAACAGGAACTTA